CCATAGAATACACTTTGGGAAAACCTGAATTAGAGTAATCAGGACCAGGGAAGTAGATACTTAAGATAGTACCTGAAATTACAAAAGGTGATCAACACTACCTAGAATAGCATAAAGAAGTTTTAGGATTGAAGTAAAACCACAAGCCTTAGAAAACTGGTCATCAGTGACCTTATGGATGATAGTGATGATGACAGCTCACAATAATATAACATTTACTACATACCGATCACTTGACTGAGTAATTATGTGTTACCTTGTTTAATCCTAATATTAGACACCAGGAAAGAGCCATTATTATTATCTCCTTTTACAGATTAAAAAAAAGGCTGAAGAAACATTACTAGGATTATCACACACTCTATAGTGGAAACTCTTCCAAAAATACACTTGACCCTCTGTATCCATAGGTTCCACATTTTCATATTTAACTTCTCTTGGACCAAAAAACATTTGAGAAAAAAATACCATCTGTACTAAACATGTGCATATTTTTTCTTATAATTATTCCCTAAACAATATACCATAATAACTATTTACATGGCATTGTAATTAGTGTTACAAGTAATCTAGAGATGATTTAAAGTATATGGAAGATGTGCATAGGTTATATGCAATTGAATATCATTTTATATAGGGGACTTGAGTATCCATATATTTTGGTATCCATGAGCATCTTGGAAACAATCCCTCAAAGATACTGAAAATATTAAGAGAATCAAATAGGAACCTGCACCAGGCATGTTTTATTTCACTAATTTATTATAGGATTTTTGTTTTATTATTTTTTTAGCTGTGAATGCCCTTCAGTAGGAACGCATACCATTGAATTTGTGAGGGTTTTTGAATTGCAATCTCTGAAGAAGGTCCCATTCATTAATAAATTATTTCAACAAAATAATTTATTTTGTTTCCTGATGGTCCACTGTGTGCCAGGCTCTGGAAATATAGCAGTAAGCACAACAAGTAAAGACCTTATTTTCACAGTGGCTTAATTAAATAATTATAGAAAGTGTGTGTGTGTGCACATGTGCATGGTGCCAGGTAATGATGTGTTCTAAGGAGAAAAATATAGGTAGTTGAAACAGAGTATGACAGGTGACTATATTGTTTGTCTATAATGATAGTGGGGCCACTGAGCATTTTTCATGAGCATTTTTCATATTTCATGATTTGTTGTATGGAGGAAATGGAGACAGCAGATCATGTGTTATAGAAGAAAATCAGAAAGCATACAGGAACTGGAAAGAGTGGCATGAGTCAATGGAGAAATTTCATCTTTTCCTCTGGCAATATGAATTTGCTTAAAGAAATAAGAAAAAAAAACAGAGGAAACTTGCAAGGTAGAGAAGGCAGGGATATGTGTGGAAGCTAGGTTCCATCCTAAAAGGATGCCTGAGATTTATAGCCCAGGGAGAAAAGTGTAATTTTCCTGAAGGAATCACCACAGATATTAAATCCCAAGGTGTGCTATATAGGTAAAATCACTTCCTATATCATTTATCAGGGAACAATAGCCATTCCAGGATGTTGGAAGCACTGTAGAATCTATGGAAGCAGTTTCCATGAACAGTGGCTTTAAGAAGCGGGAGCTTGGTTTGAGGTTGCCATGACAACACCTCTGCTGGCTGCAAGCAACCTCTCACCCAGGCTCTTCTGATCTAATAACCAGGGCTATCATTGCCTGAACTCTTAATAAGGTGTACTTTTAGCAGACTTCCTTAAAAAAGAAAAACCCTCTCTAAGAAATTCTTCAATATTTTGGTTTCTGTAAAACCCAAATGATTGAAGAGAGTGACATCAGGAGAAGAATTGTATCATTTTAAATTCATCAGCCCTATTTAAAATACTGCAACAAGCCAGGCATGGTAGTGCATGCCTATAATCCCAGCCACTCAGGAGGCTGAAGCAGGAGGATCATCAAGTTTGAGGCTAGCCTCTGCAACTTAGCAAAACCCTGTCTCAAAATAAAAAGGACTGAGGATGTAGCACTGTGGTAGAGCACCCCTGGGTTTATTCCCAGTAACACAAAGATAAATAAATAGATAAAAATATAATAGTGCAATATGATTAAAGTTTTGCCTATGCCATGACCCATAGTTTTCAAGTTTTTGCATTTGAAAGTAAGTCAGATCACCTATTCACACCACAAGACTTTAACAAACTGTAAATGTAGTCTCTCTCTCTCTCTCTCTCTCTCTCTCTCTCTCTCATCCATTTATGACTGTGGTTTCTCTGGGCTCTGTACACTCAAAGAAAACCACAGGACACTTGTGGGTCCTGGGACCTTTACTCCTAATTACCTCTGTTTGCCATGATTTGAGAGAGGGCTCCATAGATTTTAATATGTCCACTTAGACCTCTTCCCTCAAAAACACAGGTGGGAGAATTATAGGCTTTTGACACACTTTTGACTATGAACTGCTTTCCAAGTTGGCCCCTCGGCTCCTACAACATAGTGAATGTCATAAATACTTGCTGATTTAATAGACAATCATGTTGTAGTGTGAAATCACACTTATGGTCTGAAATCCACACTCATGGTCTGAAATCCACACACATACACATACCATGGAATCCCAAATGCTGCAAAACAGGTGCCTTCTACCCACCCCCACCCAGGTTAACCTTGAGGAGGTGTAGGTTTCTTACTCTGTATTCTATGTGGACATTAATTGATAGAAAAATGAGAGAAAGGAAAAGCTACAATACACATTGCTTTTAGTTTTGCTTTAGCAATCTGTCTTACTTAGAAACAAAATGAGATTCAAGGTGGGATTTTTTTCTCGTTTAATAATAAATGTGAAAAATTAAACATTGGTTATAAAATCTATTTTTATAGTAGTCACATTTTATTTGATGACTTGTCTTCAAACTTAAGAGCCTTTCCCAACAATTTGATTCTGTTTACCAAAATATCCTAAATAAACATTTTGAAAGATTATGGCAAAAGTCCCTAAACTAATCCAGTTGGGATATTTTTTTCTACAGGTGATCTTTGAATTTTATAGTGAAAAGGAGAGGGTGGAATGCATAATGATATACAAAATAAGTATAAAAAGGAGTTAGTCTTCTGAGTAGTGATTGTTTATTGCTGGCACCGAAAGGCATTTACCAAGCTCATTTGGAGTTAACATGCTAGATTAGGTTTTATTAAGGCTACGTGTAGGGTATGAAGAATCAGATCCTTTGCTTTTTGAGTTTGGTTATGGTCATATCAGCCACTTGTTTTTATTATCTGGAATACAGGAATAATAAAAAATACTCTGAGGGATGGGTGTAACAGGCAACAAGGGAAGACATTTAGCATGGATCTGCAGGCTACTGTGGAGATAAGATGCTTCCATGGGCACAACTACTACAGGTCCTGCTAATAAATGCTAGAATCTTTTGTATATAATTTTTCAAAATGTTATTAGTTTCTTATAATTCTCCAAAGGTAGACAATGAGAGTTTTTGTTTGGTATTGTTGTAAACTCATGGATTTAAGTTGCTGTAGTTATTTTTATTTGATATTCAAATTGTTCCATCTTTGGACAGTGGAAGTTTATACAGGCAGGCTCTTGAATCTTTTTGACATAATTCTAGTACTCTGATAGTGTTCTTGCTTTCTAGTATAATTTAATGTTAAAGGCTCATCTTGTACATTTCCTGCCTCAGATATATAATAGGTCACCATAGTGATAAGTGAAATTTAAGAAATCAAAAGCTGGGTGTTTGGAATGCTCATTGCTACTGGGTAGGTTATTTTTTCTAGCCCTTCTCATTGGATGGGATGAGGAAATATTTTTTATTGAATGTATACAGATATGATACCAAAAATTCCTACTCATACTTAGGACTATATTTTTACTTAATCTCATCTTCTTTACATCTGCATTTTTTTATCTCCATGCCCAAAATCCTTCTTAATGACAGCTGTAAAGATGTAGAACATAACTGCTCATGCCTTAGATAAAGTGTATGCATAACCATCTTTCCAAAAAGTACAGTAGGGAAATGGGAGTGAAAGAGTAACTTTTGGCAGAGGCCTGACAGCAGTCCCTTAGCTAAGTGATCAGATCAAGGTCAACATCAGTAATCAATTAATAATTTATTTATTTACTTATTTATGTTAGTTATGGCACTGAGGATTGAACTCAGAGGCTTAGCATGCTAGGCACACACTCTACCATTGAGCTACATCCCCAGTTCTTTTTAAAAAATTTTGACACAGGGTGTCACTTATTTGCCCAGGCTGGTCTCAAACTTGTGATCCTCCTGCCTCAGTCTTCCAGATAGCTGGGATTACAGGTGGGTGCCACCAAACTTGTGGTATCAGGCTCTCTTAATATAATGTTAATCTACTACATTGTGCTCAACATTTATGATGTTACTATGTTAGTTCAAAAATATTATATCTTTATTAAAAGCTTTTATTTACAGATTAAAACCTGTTCTCAGCTTTGTTTGAATCCATTTAATGAAGTATGAAGCATGATTCCTGTCTTTTGGTAACTTAGAATCTAGTGAGGGAAACTAGATCTAGGAAGAATGTCATCCTGATATAAACCAGAAGAGATAATCATATGGGATTTTAAGTTAAGCCATAGATATACTGAGAGCTGGGGTAACCAGGGAGAATCTTCAGGAAAATATACACTTCTGTTTATATGTTCAGAATTTCTGGACATGGGACTTAGAAAATTCCCTAAACATAATTTGATTTTTACCAGAAAACAAGATACATATTATCAAAATTATTACATTTTTGTAAACCAAGATGATTGAATTAGGAGATTTTTGAATCCCTTATGTTAGATAATAAAATAAATAACTTAGTAAAATTCAGCAACTGTGTAATAAAATTCAGTTAATCAGTGTGGACAGAATTTCTTAGAAAAAACATCAAAATCAATGGAGTATGTGCAATGCCCTGCACTCATTTTATGGGTAGACCTGGTTAAATCTTGTATGTCTAGCATTTAGATGTTAATAGTTCTCTTTTATTTTCCCTTTAGGATTGGCTGCTGCCAAACTCTTATCTGAACATGAAGTTAATGTTTTGGTTTTAGAAGCTCGGGACAGAGTTGGAGGAAGAACATACACTGTGAGGGTAAGTGATTTTAATACTTGCATATGATTTATCTCACTCAAAACTGTAAGTGATCTGGGCATGGTGGCTCATGCCTGTAATCCCAGCAGTTTGGGAGGCTGAGGCAGGAGGATTGTGAATTCAAAGCCAGCCTCACCAAAAGCAAGGTGCTAAGCAACTCAGTGAGACCCTGTCTCTAAATAAAATACAAAATAGGGCTGGGGATGGGGCTCAGTAGTTGCATGCCCCTGAGTTTGATCTCTGGTAACCCCCTAAAAATAGAATTGGAGCCTTTGGAAGTCACAGAACTGGAAGAAATATTAAGAATTCATGCATTTAAGCCATTTGTCCTCCATAGCTCTAATTTACTTCATGAAGTAAAGGGTCATTCTCATCAACAAGCACTCACTGAACAATGACAACCTCTGACCTCCAGTTGCTCACATTCTAGTAAAGACAACAAGTATGAACAAATAACTTAAATATAGTGCCATAATTTCAAAACTAGAGACTGAAATCATCAAGTATGAATTATCTCAGTAGGGTTATGGTTTTGCTGGACTGGAAGTGACTATACACCCCAAATGCACACATACTGTAGGTTCCTTGTTTATTTATCCAGCAGTACTCAGCTGATGGTCACAGTAAGCAGGAGCAAATGTATGTATTTTTGTGCAACTTTTCCCTTGGCTTTTTTGTTCAAGACAGGTCTGGATTATATGAGAAGGAACCACAGTTCTTGCTAAACCACTGTCCTTTTTACACCATTCTGGAAAAGTGTACACTTATATCATTTACTAAAATAGTTACTACTAGTGTGTTTGCATGTGACTAAATCTGTGGGAGCTGATGAAAGTACACAGAGGGGTATGCAGGGTGGGAAGAAATAGGGCCAAAGATGGATGTTTGGTGAGCTTGTAGGTTAAAGGGGGGCGGGTGGGCAGATACAGAAGGAACCAGAGAGAAGCAGAGGAGGTTAGAGCAGTGCTATGCCAGTCAGTGGAGGAAAGAGAAAAGGATGCTCAACAGACTCAGATGGTAAAGAATGAAGGCAGTAAAGAGGCCCTTGAATTTGGCAATTAGAAAGTCATTAATGAGACCCTTTGCTAGAACAAATAAATAAGAACTGTAAAGACTTAAGTGAGAAAAAAAAAAGACTTAAGTGAGGATTGGCAAAAAGGGAAAAAATACAGACTTGTTGAATTGACTGGAAATAGAGAATGCATATATCTAACTAGAAGATGTTTCAGTTAGATAATAGAATGGCCTAGGCAATGATAATAGCAGTGAATTAAGCCAAGCAAATATTCAATAATTTCACAGAAGTCTGGTGGTACATAGTCCTAGTTGGGATAGGGGTTCAGCTTTATCTTCAAGGCTTTAATCTATTGCTGTCCTTCTGCTCTGTCATTCTTTGCATGTTGATTTATATTGCCTTCTGGTAACAAGGTAGATGCTGACATCTAAGCATCAAGTCCTCATTCAAGGTAGGAAAGAGAGTGATCTTTACTGGAAGACTCAGGTAGACATTTGCTTCAGTTTCATTGGGCAGAGTTAGGTCACCTGGCTCCCTTCAGCTGTAAGAAAGACTGATATCTAACATTTCCAGACTGCAGAGTGTAATCAGGCAAGAGAAAGTATTGCAATTGCCAACTGATGACATTTGAACTCTGAACTCTTTCAGTCACACCATGCCATGCCCTTTCTATCATTTGGGTATGTTATCTCACATTCTAGTGAAGACAGCAAGTATGAACAAATAACTTCAATACAGTGTCATAATTTTGAAACTATAGATGAGATCATCAAGTATGTAGTGTCTTGGCTAGGGTTATAGTTTTTCTGGACTGGAAGTGACTCTACACCCCAAACATACATATGCACATGCACACACATTCATATGATATTTGCTAGATATGTGAAGATACATCTGAGGTCTTTTCCTACTTGATTAGTTCTAATAGTGTTTCACAGTCTTGCTTTTTCCAAGTGGGGTCTGTGGACCTGCAGCCTTGAAATCATCTGGGAACTTGATAAAAATGCAGAATTTTAGGCCATGTTCCAGACCTGCTGAATCTGAATCTGCATTTTGACAAGCTCACTAGGAGAGACTACAAGAAGCACGGCTCTCTGGTATATACACACTTGCTTGCTTTCATTTAATGTTAATCCAGATTAAGTTTATTTGGAGAATTTCTGAGTACTCCTTTGGATGCAGTCTGCCATGGGTCTGGGAGTGAGGAAACTGGGATTCTATCCACTGTACTGGCCTGACATGGTGTCTTGGGTAAGTCCTGTTAGCACTTCACATCCCAGTTTTCTCATCTGAGTGATATGATACAATCTGAATGTCCTCCAGGAAGCTCCCTTCATCTTCAGATTCTAAACAGTGTATGGTAATGTAAAAAAAAAATGGTTGCATATTCTGTCTTACGTTCTTGGTAGATATGATTCTTCTGTCATTTTTCTGAAAAATATTCCTTCATTTTGTAGGTAGTTATTAAGTTGTGCCTTATCCTTGCTTTTCTTATCTCTGAAACCTCTTGCTTATTAAATAGGAGCATCAGTCATGTTGCAGATTTTCAGTTAAGAACAAGTTTCTTTGCATAAGGGAAATGAGAAATACAACATGCTTATCCCAATCTATGTTATTGGCCTAAGCTGCTTGGCCGTGCTGCATCATTTATATATGTCAGCACCAGACAGAACTATTACTGCATATTCATGATATCATGTACCTCTTAGGTATATGAGAAAGGAATCTCAGAAATGCCTGACGTTACCACTTAGCATTAATATTTCATATGGAAGAAACAGAAGGCTTTTAAAAAGGACAAAATGGTATTTAATAAGAAACTGAATCAAATATTGTTAAAATTGTTTCTAGTAGCATTATCAATTAGGATAATTTTGGCAGAAGATGTCATAAAAACTACTTTACATCTTTAAGTACTGAAATGTCAAAGATGGTATTTTCACCTGACAACTATTTGGATGGATTTTCAACTAGTTCAGAACATCCCAATTTTTTTAAATATGATCCCTCCATGATTTTTCAGAGTCAAATTAATAAAGTTGAAATGCCCGCAGGGCCACCAAAAAGGTTGGTGTCTTTGATTGCTAATACAGTTGCATCTCAGTGGCCTCCTTAAAGGCTGAGTAATAAGATCTAAATAAGGACCCTAAAGACTAAGGTGCAACATAGCAGAAAACCATATTTCATTTCTAGTGTCTTCATGCTGAATCCAGAGTATCATGTATAGAATGTTTTTGCTTTTTTTTTAAAGAGAGAGAGAGAGAGAGAGAGAGAGAGAGAGAGAGAGAGAGAGAATGAGAATGAGAATTTCAATATTTATTTTTTAGTTTTTTCGGCGGACACAACATCTTTGTTTGTATGTGGTGCTGAGGATCGAACCCGGGCCACACACATGCCAGGGGAGCGCGCTACCGCTTGAGCCACATCCCCAGCCCAAATGTTTTTGCTTTGTAAAAAGCATTCTGTAAAATGCCTCACTCTTTTTACTACTTCACTTAGGATTATTCACTTTAAAGAGATTGTCAGTGTTCTAAAGACATTTGAAAACTCTCAAGGGTCCTCTTGCTGTCTTTGTTAAATCCTAGAAATTTACTGGAGTACTTGTTCTCCAATCTTAAAATGGAAATTGGAGTCTAGAGAAGTTTGGAGGACAGTACTCATGGTTAGTAAAAGAGAACCTAAGGATTAGGATGGACAGATAAAAGAAACATTTTATTTCTGCTATTGTGGCAGCAAGGTAACCCTGAATAACTCCCCCTATTGAAATAAGAAAAATGTTGAATAAAATACACTGTACAGATCTGACAGGGAAGTTAGACAATTGTAGATCCTCCTAGATATTGAATTGGCATCTCAAATTCAACCATCCCAAACTAAACTTCTTATGTTTCTCACTGAGACTGTTATTCCAGCATCTTTCCCCAAATAAGATGGCAACTCTGAAAATACTTGGGGTAATGCTTAACACTGCCAGACCTACTGTATTTTTCCAGGAAATTATTTTGGCATTGTTTTAAAAACATATTGAGAATTCAATACTTCCCCCCCAGACTTTCATTGCTACCTCCTTGCGGGAGCTACCATCATCTTTAGGGTAGATGACTGCAGTAGCCTTCTAACTGATTTCCCTGTTGTCACTCTTGCTCCCAATAATCAATTCTTAGTGCAGCAGCAAGTCTTTAAAATCTAAATCAGACATTAGCATTTTTCTCCTCAAAACCTTCCAAAGGCTCTCCTGTCACTTAGAGCAAAAACCAGTGTGCATACAATGTCCTGGCCTGTTTCCCAATAAACTCTCTAACCTTATCTCCAGTTCTCTTTTCCTTGCTTACTCTATTCTAGCTACATTGGCCCTCTTGGTATTTCTTAAACATACCAGGTATGCTTTTGCCTTACAATCTTCGCACTGGCTCTTCCTTCTGCCAGCAGTACTCTTTTTCTGGAAATAACAGATTGGGTAAATTATACCAAAGCACAATGAGACTAGACAGATTTCACCACGCACATATGTGTGCATGTATACACACTCATATATCTTCAGAGCATTAGAGAGCCAAAGAGCTAAGAATGTAGTGAAGAATTATGGGGCCAGTATCCAAAAAGGATTGACCTACCTTTTCCTGGGTATTAGGGAGAGTTGTTGGCTACTGAAAATATTGCTGGGAGACTGAGCAGTTCTTTTGATAGTTTTTTGAAGCTAGGATAATATAATGTCAATTCCAGAGCCCAACGAAGTATGTGTGTATATGGGGAAGGTTTTGGTCAACTCCTTGCTTTGGGTTGGGCTAATCTTAGGACTAATGGTGAACTGCAAGAGTACTAGGCCACATGTGCATTTCAGCCCAGCTTTTTCTTTTTTTTTTATTGTTTATAAATAACAATTTTGTTTATAACAAAATTTTGTTTATAAATAACAATTTTGTTATAAATAACAAAATTGTTTATAAATAACAATTTATTGGGGATAGAAATATTCAAGTGTTTGGGAATGTTTGTTTTGGTCAAATAAATGAAAACTTAAAGTACCATTTAAGTGTTTATAGGAATTTGCCTTTGATCAAACATTAAATAAAATATGATTTGAAAGCTAAACTTAAAAACTTAGAAAAGAACTAGGATTTAGTGTTTGTAACTTTGAAAAATTGAGTAAATTTTAAAAATTGAGTTTTAAATCCAAAGTAATTTCTGAGTAATTGTTTCTATAGAAGATAAATGTCACCCTCATGGGCATCAAAATACTCACAGGGAATGTCCACCTAAGTCACTTGGCCTTTTCAAGTACTAGACAACAGCAATAGCTAAAGGATTCCCCACACAGGCCAAATCAGCCACAAACATGTTTTCGTTGGGCCAATAGATGTTTCTGAAGATTTTTAAAAATTAATTAACAGCATTAAAGATCAGAAACTTTCATCTGAAGAGATTTCTGACTTCTCTGGAAAACCAGAAGATCTGGCAACAATGAATCACATTTCCCACATGGAGCTGAGTAGCAACTGTCCCTCTGTTCATGTTCCTTCCAGTTAGTCACTGTCTCCACTCATTATTGGACCTTACACCTGTCTGGCCCACATAGATGTTTGAGTATATAACCTCTTCATTTCAAGGTTCTTTGGGGTTCCTAACAGCTGATACTGTGTAGCCTAGGATAAGTACCCCCAAAAAGGGCAGACCCTGCCCTCTTCTCTGCTCTTACCATCCCCACTCCAGCTGGGCTGCCTTCCCATCCAACCTGCCTTGAGGACTGATTCCAGTCCTTATAGAAAACATGTAAGAAGTTCCAAGGCTGGACTTAATGTTTGCTGCTCTTGTCTTGCCAGACACTTTACCTAAGCCATGTGAACTTCCTGATCAGTTCCTGTGAGCTTGATCACTTGCTTAGTTTGATGACTGCCTGACTTTGGTCTATGAGGGGTCCCAAACTCAATATTTTTAAATGTATTTTTTTTTATTTATACATGAACACAATATCTTTATTTTGTTTATTTTTATGTGGTACTTGAGAATTGAACCCAGTGCCTCACATGTGCCAGGCAAGTGCTCTACCACTGAGCCGCAACACCAGCCCCTCAAACTCAATTTATAAAGCTCCCAAATCTGATCATTCTGTCATCCCAGCTTTTTAAAAATCACTTCAGCACTGAAGAGGAATAAAGTTATTTTTTATTATGGTTAGTATCTCAGACACTGGGTAGAAACAAACATAAATTCTCTCTGAGAAAGATATCTCCAAGGATTCAAATTATTTCTGCATGTTTTTCAAGTATATGGAGCGCTACACAATAAAAATGTAATCAGGTAAGCAAGAAAAAAAGGCAGCATTCACACATAAGAACTGGTATAAACAACAAAATAGAAATTGAATAGAGCCATAAGAGGTTATTACAAAAACATGGAGAAGACTGGGGTTGTGGCTCAGGGGTAGAGCACTTACTTGCATGTGTGAGGCACTGGGTTGGATCCTTAGCACAACATAAAAATAAATAAATAAAATAAAGGTATTGTGTCCATCTCTAAAAAATATTTTTAAAAAAAACATGGAGGAATTATAGTTCACCAAGATTTAATTCATTGATCAAATCATCGGGAAATATGTTAATAAGTAAAAGAAAGTAGAGAAATGCAGTTAGGAGGGAGGGGGAAGGAAAACAATTTCAGTTTGAGAGCTTGCATATTTATAAATAATTTAGTAGATATATGAATATTTTTATGGTTTTTAATATTCATTTCCCATGATGCATTCTTCTCTGGAAGTGTTTTCAAATATCAAGAGCTCATCAATGTAAGCTGATTTAAGATTTTTTTTCCTGATAGAAATAAGGGAATTAGCTCTAATAAGTCTCTGGGTGGCTCCTCCAGCAATAACTCCAGAGAAAAGCATACATAATAACTTGAATGTGTTGCAGAGGATCTAGACTGGTAGGATTTACTACAGAGTTCTTTATTCCTTATGTGTTATATTGCTGATCAGCCACACCAACAGCTCTGCAAATGAAGGTGCTTAGTGAAGTGTCAGACAATGTTATGCCCCAATTCTTGAGAGGAAGAAAAATGATTGCCATTCTCAGTTGTACTTTATAAGGGGAGATGTAAAGCACAGTTAATTTTGCAAAATAAATGGAGTTATTTTTTATGAGACATAAAGACTTATTTCCAAGTCTTAACTAAAGCCTTCTGACCACTTTTTCTTTCTGCAGAATGAGCATGTTAATTGGGTAGACGTTGGTGGAGCCTATGTGGGACCAACCCAGAACAGAATCTTACGTTTGTCTAAGGAGCTGGGCCTACAGACTTACAAGGTGAACATCAATGAGCGTCTTGTTCAGTATGTCAAGGTAAGTCTGAGTTTTTATCCAGGTGACCAATGGGGGAGCATTTTATTTAAGAAAATATTTTGTTTGTATGTTTGTTGGTATTTGTCTCAAAGCAATCATAAAAATTAGGCTCTTTTCCTTTTTTCATTTAAAAAAGTTGCTAAGGACTCCTGGAAGCACTGTGGGAAATCACGTCTCACCTTGGTCCTCTTCCCTGTTGCCCACTATGGCTCTCATAAGTTGTACCTCCATTCCCCTTCCTAATATATTTGCAGAGCCCTGGGGTTAGGGGTGCTTGCAACAGATATGGTTACATGCATACACCACACACACACACACACACACACACACACACACACACACTACCCCAGCCCCAGTCAACTCCTGAATCATTTAGGAGCCATCTCTAAGATCCCAAGGAACTCAATAGTTGGAGATTACTTCTTTAGTCTTTGAACTGGTTCTTCCTCCAGTTCAAAGTGTTAGCTAGATGTTTGTTTGAGCACTTGATCATTTCCTTTGTGCTTGGCTCTGACTCAGGAAGTCTAGCTCCCGAAGTCTAGTGCATTTTCCTACTGTTTATACAAGAGTTTGTTTAAACTTGAGCTGTTCATATCCACCTAAGAAACAGCAGCTGTTGCCACTGTTATTCTTTCTCATTGAAGCAAACATGGAATGACTAGAGTCTGGAAATATGCCTTGAGAAATTAAGTTTCCCATCTGACATTGCAGCTCACTTCTTGGAATTTGCAGCACAAGGGCAGGGGTTATTTACTCATTCTAATGGCAGGATTCCCATGCCAGTAACCACATCACTTATCAGCAGACACATCTCCCCCTGACTCCACTGCAGGCAGTCACTGTGGGTCTGGAGGCTACAGTGCTTAGGGAGTGTCCTGGGAATTAAGGAAACTTGTGGTATATGCATACCAAAACTTGGGCATCATTATGCCCAAGCATGAAATTAGGAATCATGGCAAACTATGATAGTCATGTTGTTTGCAATGCATGGGAGAATCTGGCAGTAACAAATGCAAAACAACAACAACAACAAAAAAAAAAAAAACAGTAGCTTTTAGAAAAGTTGTGGGTGCAGAGATTAAGGGAGGAATAAAGTATTAAAAAATAATAAAAAGTGGCAGTTTGGGCTATATCTCAGTGGTAGAACACTTGCCTAGCATGCATGAGGCCCTGGATTTAATCCTCAATAGGCATAAAAAATGTATGCAAAGTGCTTAACAGTGTTGGCTTTACTAGGGCACCATCAGAAAGGAGAATACCTTTTGCTTCCCCATTTTATCTTTCCTGCTTACTGTGGAGTTTCCTTAAGTTAGTAAGAAATAACAATAGTAAGAATAATAGCACGGGCTGGGGATGTGGCTCAAGCGGTAGTGCGCTCGCCTGGCATGTGTGCGGCCCGTGTTCGATCCTCAGCACCACCAAACAGAGATGTTGTGTCTGCCGAAAACTAAAAAATAAATGTTAAAATTATATCTCTCTCTCTCACTCTCTCGCTCTCTAAAAAAAAAGAATAATAGCGCCAAGTACAGTGGTGCACACCTGTCATTCCAGTGGCTCAGGGAGCCTGAGATGGGAGGATTGCGAGTTCAAAGCCTCAGCAAAAGTGAGGCCCTAAGCAACTCAGTGAGACTCTGCCTCTAAATAAAATACAAAAATGGAGCTCTGGATGTGGTTCAGTAGTCAAGTGCCCCTGAGTTCAATCCCTAGTACCCTCCCCCAAAAAAGAATGATAGCAGCTAAAAAGAATAATAGTCATTGAGCTTTTTTACATTCTTGCATTTAATGTGAGGAGGGAAGCCTAACCCTTTGCAATCAACTACAAATTAAACAGTCATGGAAATTCACTCTCAACTCCAACTGGGAAGCAAATGAGTGTGATGATTACTTGCCATCTAAGCAGATTCACGCTTATTATCTATTTATCCCTAAGATTCAGGCATTGAGAGATTTTTTATTTTACTTGGAATAAAATAAAACAAACAACTAAGTACTTTTTATGCATGAACTAATTAAAATCTTACATCTACCCCACTGGGCTGCATAATTATCCTCATTTTACAGATGAGAAAACTGATGTTCAAAGAGGTAAAGTGATGTCAAGGTTAAAAACCTAGTAGCATTCTATTAATCCTTGAATGCATATATGGTCTCAGAATTGAAACTAAGGGTTCTGAACAGAAGCAGGGTGGGCCTCCAATGTTTGTTTAACCAAACACATATCTATTGTAAGGTATCTCACCACCAATTTCACTGAAGCTTGACTTATATGATGAGCAGATGCTGTTACTGAAAGACCACTCTTCTTTTACTTCCTTATTCTTCTTCCAGTCTCATGTTCCTTTATGTACATTTTGAAAACTGGGGAAAAACTGGAAATTTGTAGGTGTGTCCTCAAACTAAGTACCTACTAGTCTCCCAGCTATACCCACTCTAAAACATGATGGTAAGGTGTGATTTTAAAATGGCTCCCACAACCAGCTTTGGTTATTCAACTCCTCATTATTCTTGATGGAGGCAAGGTGGAATTAGAATGAGATAGTACTATTTCAGAACTTTGACTGTCGAAGGTTATCAATAGATGATAGCATGCTGTCCAACCTTCCTGACAGAACCTGTGAGTTAAGTGTTATTAGTTAAATATCAGGCTTTCCAATGACTACAATTTTTCTGGGCTTCATAGGGAACCCTGGTTTTAAGAAATCCAGGTCTGATCATTTTACATTTTGAGAGGCTTTGCTTCAAGCTTTACTAGAGGATGAACTATCTTAAAGAAATGCTGTTTGCTATATCATATGCCTAATTTAAGGAAAGAGAGATGTTAGGATAGTATCTATGGTCGCTTTCTTTGTTGCTGCTGTTGAGTCCTTCTCTAAATTTAAGTCTATGCCATCCTTGATAGTCCTACTTCTAAGAAAAAGCACAGCTTCACCTTTCTAGAGGTGGGAGCTACTCAACTCCTACCATATTTTTATTTCACAAAAACACAAGTATGGCTGTCACATATATAACATACTAGAAAAAGGAATCTTGTTGTGGCTTTGGATTTGGTAGCCTGAAGATGCTTTCAAGAATGTAATTATTTTTAAAAGAATGTAATTGATAACCTTTGGATTGTTGCCATTGCATGGCCATGGACATTAACATAGTAATGTATAATATTAGGTAATATTAGGTCACAGTTATTGAACATGCAGAATCTGATAGGTTTGGCACTAAGACTTGTGCTTCAGCTGCACTTTAGACAGCAAATATCTTGTTTAAATCTACACTGCAGTTGTCAATTCCTCAAAGTCAGCCTTGTTCCCATAGTAATGATAAGGATGGTTCTTCTTTACTGAGCCCCGTATCACAGAAAAGGTATGAAGGCAAGATATTTAGTTCAATATTGTAGATAAGATTGTTAATAACTCCACTTATTTAAAACTGTAAAACATCACAACTATCAGTTCTCTCCACTGCTAGGGGAGAAATGGATTTTCTAGCATGATAGGATATTGGGTTAGTAATACAAATTGTCTTATGATACTCTATAAGCCTTGTGACAACCCTGGCTTCTGTAATCTAATACAGTGTATTCTTTTCTATAAATAACAAAGAAATTACTATAGTGAACAGGTTTTATGAATGTTATAAATTGCATATGGCTTTATTTGAAAGATTATATCTACCAGTGAAGTTAATATAAATTAATTGTGTTGTCTTTAACCCAAAAGGTGGATTTTAAATGGCATCAGTTAAATATATTTAACACATTTTCTTTCATTTCTTTTCTTTTGGATAGTAAGAGAAGCAGCTATCCCTGAATGCCTATTGGATCGATTCATTACTTGCATCAGTAAATAAGATGCTCCCTCATTAAGTTTGTTTATTAGCGAGTTTTTTTTTATTGGTTGTTCAAAACATTAAAAGCTCTTGACATATCATATTTCATACATTAGATTCAAGTTGGTTATGAACTCCCAATTTTACCCCAAATACAGATTGCAGAATCACATCGGTTACACATCTATTAGCGAGTTTTGTTAAGTTGGGGTGACCTTATATTAAATTTTGCAGGCAAGGTCTTATAAAAGAAAGAGGAAATGCCCAGTTTCTTTTTTTGCTTTCTTTGGATTTCTCTAGATCACAATTGCAGGTAGAGTGAATGGTGTGGAATGGGAGAAGCCAGCCAGAGATGGAGCAAGGCATTTTTGCCAGAGCTTATTTGCAGGAAAAATTGACATATTTCTGCATTCTTGCTTTCTCCCTGCTTTTCCCATCCTCTCTAAATAAAACTAGAGACTCTAAACATGTACCACACATTTGTTTTTGAGTGGCATGATAAAGATGTATTTAAAACAACAAAGGCTTTCCTGATAATAATAGCTCAGCAAGCAATTTTTCCTAGTATTGGTTCTATTCTGCCTGCAGCCATTTACTTCTGGTTTCTATGCCTATGACTAAAGTCAAAAGCTCTTCAGACAATGTGTGTCCTGGAATACTAAATAAATTTTCTTGGTTGTTAAGAGATGAACTTAGTTTTAACAAGTAAGTTGTGTAGAAAGTTGTGTTTTGTGTTAATTTGTTTTAATGCTTATTATATACTTGTTTTGGACCTCTTTCTTAAGACTGTTTCCTTTGAATAAGGGACATTTAATTTTAAGTTTCTTTTAGCACCTTTTCTATATTAACTCATGGAAGGTATTTCTTTTGTCTCCAAATGAAGTTATATTTTTCACTTTCAGCACCTTTTGGAAAGAAATTTAAGAAGCTGAATATGTTAAGCCCTTATAGGGATATTGCTTGTGCTATCACTACGTTCAAATACTTAAATTCATGATACATACTAATAATGCCTTCCATCTGCACTTTACATAGAGATTTTTAAAAAATATTTATTTTTAGTTGTAGTTGGACGCAATACCTCTATTTTATTCATTTTTATGTGGTACTGAGGATTGAACCCAGGGCCTTGCACATGCTAGGCGAGCACTCTACTGCTGAGCCCGAACCCCAGCCCT